TAGCTTAGCTACCTAAATCACTGTGACAACTGTTTCACAGCCGAATTATTGTTCCCGCACCCAGGGACAGGGATCTAGATCTACAGAGGTCTATTCTTTGATTAGTAACAACAATTATAACTTCAAATCCCTGACCGATTATCTCTGATTAAACAACAATCAAATAAGGAACATGTTTAGCTGAAAGGAAAACACGAAAATAATAACTAACATTCAGTTACCGAGAAAAGGGATGTTGTTATTTCGAGTTAAACAATACCGCCGGAGTAGAACCTTTGTCTCTTTACAACTCTGTTGCTTTGTTAGATTACCGAAAGATACGTGAAATTAAAAGACTAATAAAACCATATAAATCTTATTGACTTACCTGAGATTCGATTAGCACTAGAAGCGTCAGATGAAATCCTCATAAAGAGTAACAATAGCATAATAGTGTTGAACATTGAAACGCAAATATCCTGCGGTGAAAGTAAATAATAAAACGCTATCATAATTTTATAACGTTTGCTAACACGGTTCGATAGAAAGCTCTTTGTCGGTGCGATTTCCCGCTTAGCACAGTCCAGCTGATTTGATATTTCAACTCTTAATAGTTGCGGCTTTTGCGACGAACGAGAGTAGGGTGATTAAAGTTTGAATGATATGATTCCAGCTAACTTACGGAAGTAGTAACTTTGTTTTGAATATCAACAAGGAAAATCGGAAAAGGCGCGGTTTAAACATGAGATACTACGCAAGGAGGATTTCCGGTTGAAGAATCAATACTCTTGCCCATAGAAATACTGGTTTGATTCTTAAGGATTGAAACCACTGTGGAAAGTTTTTCTTTTCTATCTGAGGAGACGGCTTGTATGCCGCGATAGTTGGCTCCAGTTCGACAATGTTTCCAATCGGCAAAAGTACGCAGTTTTTAAACGCTTTTGTTTAAATATAGATACCACGCAAGAGAGCATATTTGTTGGGTTTGTTTCTTCTCATGTCCATCAAATTTTTTCCTGTTCTTCGGATTGTGCGTTTTGTTATTTTCACTGCATCAGTATGGCAACTCCTTACTGACCTTACTTAGCAAAAAGGTTTCAAGTTGAATCGCCGAGTATAGCATTAATGCGTGAGACTAAAATCATACTAGAGTGCCAAAACCAGGAGGGACCTCCCAAAACCAAAACTCTATTTTCAAAACCTCGCAAATATCGGAAAAGACGTTTGTTTTATTTTAAGTCTATTCTCCCAAATTAGAAATAGGGTTATGAGATATCTATACGACTTACAATTTCCAGAGATAAATTCAAGAGTTGGACATTTTGATTGGTCAAAAAAACTCGGCTTACGACGCTATAGCGCAGCCAGATTACCGAACGTTAAAGAAAAAACGTTCTTTCAATAAAGTTTCGCAACTAAACACTGAGAAATGTGTGTGGATTAAGAAAACGAATTTGTACCTTGACCCGGAAAGGCTCCAAGATACGATTTCAGTATCAATGTGGTTTCCTCAAACAACAGGATGAAAGTCATGTATTTTTTTCTTCAGTTTAGGACTGCTGCAAATTTGAAATGAAAGTGCGACTTTTGCAAAATTTTCCTGCTGGGACCAAATCAAGTTTAATGAACCTATACTTAAACCAGAAAAACCAGAATAGCAGCATATCGCCAACCACTTACTGTTAACGTCTTCCAGCTGAAAAACTAGCTGTCATCTGTCGAATATTATACTGAAATCCAACTGTAAACATGTACCTGCAGATGGCATCGTGCGCGCGCAAAACAAGTGCGAGATACGCAAATGTTTTACTTACTGGGGAGGTGACAGGAAAAATGTAACGGGCACCGTAAAAAGTTTAAAAAAGGATCAATAACTTTAAAAAACGCGTGGTTACCCCTATATTTTATGTTATGACGTGGAAGTGGCAAGCCTATTCAGCACGTGATTAGTTTCTTATCGTGAGCAAAAGATATTTAGACTGTATTTTACTGAAACAGAGGAAGTCTGTCAGAGACGCTAAAAGTGCTGTTGCAACGATTTTGCGGTTATAAAAACATACCAAAAATGGTTTTTATGTTACCATTTACCAGATACGATTTCAGTATCAATGTGGTTTCCGATGCCTAATGCCCGGGGATTAGGCTGAGAGCACAACATGACTGACATTTCAGGCTACCGATTCACCCGCCTCCTTGACAAAACCACACGGGACCGAGAAACCGCTTAACTTGAAAATAAAGATTTAAATAGTAACGATGTCCTAGCAGCAATTTCAGTGTATTTTTGGTACACTTTTCGTTCATTAACCTCGGCAAAAAAGTGCGACTTTTGCTGAAACTAAGCACATATCACAAACATTTTGGCAGAATGACTGATTTTGTTTTGTCCGTCCGTCCGTCCGTCTTTTTTAATCTTTCCCTATGTTAGTAATTGCTTTTTCACTTCTGGGTTAAAATCATTGTTTTTGCGGAATTTTTGAAGCTTCCTTCAATAAGATTTAAATGTTGCTTTTCTCAAACTTGAAAACAGACGGTGTGTTGTTTCGCCGAAAGAAAACACGGTGTTCTTTTTCTGCCGGAACAGCGGACCAGGAAAGGTCAGGGGAGAGATTGGCTTTTTTTTTTTGGGTCACTTCCTGTCGTCTTCTTTTTCCCTTTTAATGTTAGAAGAACTATTTCCTTCTATGGTAAAGGAACATCAATGTCATACAACAAATGAATTCGGTGAAAACCCTATGATACAAAAAAATTGTTTTCGACAAATGAGACAAAACTGTTTGCTGGCTTCGTTTACTGTCACAAACAAAATATATTTGAGGTCTTATTATTGGAACATGTACTTAGGTTTGAAGGTAAAAGTTGTAGAGGATATTAAACGGAGACGCGAAGATATATATGTTATTTGCCGGTTGGGAGGTCCATGTCGTGAGTTTAAATCATGAATTCATTTATTTTTTCCTCTCTCTCTCAAATCACTTTTATAATTGTGGACCTTTTGCGAGAATCAGGTCCGCGCTTAGAACCAATCATATTGCAGGATTCGTTATCGTGTCCGCTTGGAAAAAGATAAAAAGTATATTTTCGAGTAAAATCGTATTTTTAGCACGGTATAATAAAATCATATCTTCAAGCCACCGCGCCGGTGCATTTTCTTTTTAGTATGTAGACAAACTGACTGTTTGCGAAAACAACCGTCAAAAAGCGGGAAATGACGTCATCAATATCATCACAAGTGAATATATGGCCGGTAATAAGCCACTCGGGTCCCGGATGTACTTTCATTTCAATGGGTCATTTCCGAGTTTCCTTGTGCCTCTGTTTCAAAACGAGTCTTCGTGCAAAACCTTTCTTATGAAAATGATTTTGATTTGCGTGAAAATGAAGCTGTGGGCGGATCTCATTTTCAAATGAATGATTTCGCACGTAAACTCGTTTTGACACAGAGACAAAAGGCAACTGGCCTATTTGACGAGTGGTGTATTTTCTGATAAAACACTCGTGCCTATGTAATAAAAGAGGATATTGTTCGAGTCCCTTTTTGTTGAACCTAATGTTTTACGCGGACTACCCCACCGACACAATGCCAGGTGCTTTCAGCACAACCAAAGCCTTCCCCCTTTTAGTTGTGAATCTTCAACTTAACTGTAAAAGACGTGAACTCAACAAAAGAAGCAAACAAACTAAAGCTGGCATGTTTCCTGATAGCTTTTTTATCAGAATTTTCATGTGATGTTTTTTGTTATATCCGAGATCACTGCTGGTACCTGTGTATCAATTGATAAGAGACACATACAGATAAACAAACTGATATGATTAATATATGATCTGACCAGTGACCACCAAATGTTATATACTTTAAATTTGAGTGATCTAGTGGACGAGGCCTGTTGGTCTAGTGGCATGATTCTCGCTTAGGGTGCGAGAGGTCCCGGGTTCGACTCCCGGACAGGCCCAGAAAATTTCTTTTTGCGACGAAGAGCTCTTCTCAAGTTGTTTAATAGGTTAATATTCAACCTCGGAAACGTGGCATGAATAAAAACTCATTCTATCTCTTTTTTCATTTAAACTTGTTCATTCCATTGCAAGATCTAAGTGCTACAGCGCATCTTGTCAGCCAGCAAAAGACTAGCTCCTTCTTCACTCAATAACAGGCGTGCTCCCTGTACGGCAAACGGGGTTCCATCTGTGCACAATTCCGGTTTGATGTCCACAGGAAAGTGTAGATAAATGCTTAAAAAACCCTCCACATTACTCTAGCAGTGCTCTTCAGGATAATCAGTTAGCCAGTAGAACACCCCTGTTAGCTTGAGTAGAGGCTTTTCCCCCTACAGTTGTACCAACTGGGGTATTCAATGAAATGGGGCTCTGTGTTTTGTTCATATCCTCTCGAGGGCTAGAAAAATATAATAAAACAAGAGATTAGGGTAAAAATGCCATCAACGTTCTTCCCCATAGAAAGAGAACTCATTGTCGTTTGCGAGAGAAAGTCCTTTTACCGTAGCCTGCGTAGCAAGCGTATAAAGGGGAGGGGAGCCGGGAGGAACTGAAGAGAACTCCTCCGTTTTTTTCCCCGAATTCTCTTTCTCCTCCCCCGCCCCCTCCCCTTTATACGCCTGCTACGCAGGCTATTTCTCCGACAAGCACAGAACTGGAAAAATCCGGACACAAACTTGAAAGGGCGGCGATCATTCATAAATGCTGCTCAGCCGAAGAATCCCATCAGGGGGACTAGAAATACTCCTGGTTGCTTCATGCTACAGAAACTGGGATAAGCTCCGGCCTGATGGTTCACTTGGCTCTTATGCAGACTTACCTCCATAACCTTACATATTAATTGCAACTTATCCATTAAGTGTGGCAAATCAAAAGAACATCAAGCTAATAAAGTTCCAATTGTGGCTAGTTTCTTTTCCGGTATGTACGCATAGCAGACCTATTTTACCCTCGGGATCCCTCGGGATTGACATAGGTTCGAATTTAGAAACCGCTGGTCAAAGAGAATACGCCATTCTAGGAATCTTTGATATGTCCTACTTTTCAGGACCGTCACATGATTTGCACGCAGTCTTCTAGCTCTATGATGGAGGGTGTAAAGGTGGTTGTTGTTGCCTTTTTTCTCGCGTTCCTCGGCCTATGTTCCTCCAAACCGGAAGGATACGTTTTTCTAGAACACAGGCATAATGTCGAAGCTTGGCGAGAGGACGGCTGGGAGAAGCATGATCGACTTTCACCTTCGGAAGATGTTTTCCTTACCTTCGCCCTGAAGCAGAGCAACTTGGAATCACTTGAACGTTACTTCTGGGAGGTTTCCGATCCACGATCTTCCGAATACGGCAATCACTTTTCCTTATCCAACCTAACAAGGCTTATAGCACCATCTCAAGCGACTCTTGCAGCCGTCAAGGCGTGGCTGGGAAGACATGGAGTCCGCCCGAGCGACTGTATGACAGTGCTCACGAAAGATTTCATGACCTGCCAAATGTCTTGTGAAGCTGCAGAAGCAATACTTGTTGGAGCGAAGTTTTACCGTTTCAAACACTCCAAACTATCGAGGCCTGTTATCCGCTCGGTGGAACATTATTCTGTACCAGCAAGTGTCGCTTCTCATTTAGACTTTGTAGGCGGGGTGCTACATTTCCCTGCGGTCAATGGTCCATCTTTCTCTAGGCTTTCTGAGGAGGAGATTGTTGACAGTATGGAATCTTCCAAACCACAAGACAAGGACCAGATACACATCGGTGTGTTCCCAAGTGTTTTACGAGAGCGCTACAATGTCTCTGATACTGTTGGCACTCATCCAAACAACAGCCAGTCTGTGGCTCAATTTCTGGAACAGTACTTCAACCCTGGGGATTTAACAGAGTTCTTTACTCTCTTCGGCAGTTCCTTCAAACATCTGGAAAAAATGACGGAAGTGATTGGCCCAGACAGTGGACGTTCTGGCATTGAAGCGAGCCTTGACACGCAGTACATAATGAGTATTGGCGCTATGGTACCAACTTGGTTCTGGAGCACTGGCGGACGCCATGAATCACAAGAACCCTTTTTAGAGTGGCTTGTAGATGTGAGCAATCATCCAAAAGTGCCCTGGGTACATAGCGTCAGCTACAGTGACAATGAAGATACACTTGATGTAGATTACATGAACAGAATCAATGTGGAATTCCAAAAGGCTGGTGTTCGAGGCCTCACTTTTCTTTTTGCAAGCGGCGACAATGGGGCTGGTTGCAAAAAGAAGAAATTCCGTCCTATGTATCCTTCATCGTCTCCCTATGTTACCACAGTTGGCGGCACTGCATTTAATGATCCATTCACTGTGTCTGGTGAATACGCCTATGAAATTAGTGGTGGAGGGTTCAGCAATGTATTTCCCCGCCCATCCTATCAAACAGATGTAGTTGAAAATTATCTGAAAACAGGTCCCCACATTCCCCCGACTTCATACTTTAATCCAAATGGCCGTGGATTCCCTGACATTGCAGCGCTGTGTAATCACTTCTGGATTGTCAATAACCTAGTTCCTGTGCCAGGTGTGATGGGAACTTCAGCCTCCACCCCGACTGTTGCTGGTATCATTTCCTTGATAAATGATGCACGTTTGAACAACAACAAGTCCCCCTTGGGTTTCTTGAATCCGTTCTTGTATCAGAATGCGGCAGGAATGTATGATGTCACAACTGGGCACAATGAAGGCTGTCTGAGTGAGGATACTGGGTTTTATGCCGCAACTGGCTGGGATCCAGTCACTGGTTCTGGTAGTCCAAACTTTCCGGCATTAGTGAAAGCTGCTATTAGTAACCAGTGAGGTTTGAAAGAAAGTTCCATGAAGTTTTTATAGGTCCACTTTGTATTACCTGGAAGCATACAAAGCTTGCAAGGAATTACAATAAAAGTTAATTAAGAGAATTTTTATTCAAATGTTCAATTATATCATGTCTTAAAATGAGGATTGAAAATATCCAATTTGATACCTTGTAGCCGGTGTGGGAAAATTAGTAAATACATTGTTTGTACTAAGATTGCTAATAAAAAGAAATTGCAATTTCATTGGCTTTGTGCATTGTGCTTCATTTCAACTTACTAATTCCTCCTTTTGCGGTGTTCAATCCTCACCAGGATCTTTGCATTATGTTCCTGGGCAAGACACAGTTCTCTTGAGGGTGTTTTTCACAAGTACATATGCATGAGTGTAACATAAGCTGATGCAGTATGATGCTGTTTAGGAGCTTTTACTTTTGAACTAAAGTGCAGGGGTGGGGTGGGGCATTGGACTCTGGATTGGGGGGTCTGGGTTCAAGCCCTGGCGGTGTTGTGTTCCCCAGTGCCTCTCTCCAACCAGGTGTATAAATGGGTACCAGGGAGGAGTAGAAATTCTCCTAGCCACTTCATGGTATGAACACTGGACAGATAAGCACAGACCTGATGGGCTAATGGGATCAAACGCTGATAAATTTTCAGCGCGAAAGAAACTTTGTTTTCATTTGACATTTACTCATCCTCGGATGTCTTGTGACAAAGTTGAAGGGCGGAGGAAATGCATGAGAGTGAGAGAAAACACTTTGTCTCTTATTAGCTAGAGGTTTTTGTTTATTTTTAATAATCTCTGAGTCATCCTTTTACCTCTTCAAGTTTGCCAGTTACCCTGCGAGCAGTCGGTTTCTCCTACGCTGAATGCTCGGCGTAGGAGAAACCAACTGCTTGCAGGGTAGCCAAAGTAAAATTAGCAGCACAAATTCTTTTCTTTTCTTTTTTTGTAACAATGATCCTCAAACAAAATATTTGTGTTCAAAGAACTGCTAAAGAGTTTGGAATGGTGACTGCAGGAGTACAGCTACATTGTCGCGTACACTGTTAAAGTTGCTCCACTGTCTGTGCAGAATACTGTCTTTGCAGCAAATTTGAGTCTTTTCGTAATACTGATGAGGCATAATCGTCAGTAACCAAGGCCTGGAGCTCAATAATTGTTTTTGTGCCACAAGTCTGTGGTAAATTACCGTTTTTTGTAAATACAAGGCTTGAGACTGAGGCCCTCCAGCTGGGTTGATGGAACTAACTTCACACAATCCTTACTCTTGATGAAATCAAACATCACAAACATCTTGTTTGTAGTGTCCTAGGAGGTACAATACACCAATATATTTAGCCTGTGAACCTAAGTAGGCATGTGTGTGTTCTCGTAATGATACTCATCACCAGGACAGACATTGATTTAAACCAAATCTCTCTTTACGAAACAATCTGATTGAAAACCAAGAAGTATAATTTCAATTTTGACAGGAACCAATTGTTTAAATGTTAAGGGCCCATAATATGTATGTGTTACATTGATGGCATGATGGAGCACACATTGACTAAATTGTTACTGGCTGATCAGACATGCAACTGAAAATTTTCACCTGGCTTGTAATGGAGTTAGTAGTTATTGCTTAAATTTAAGGGCAACATTTTTCTGCTCTGCATGTATACAGTCTATAGATATGGTACTGGGCGAAGATGGTACATGTAATTTAGCACAAAGCCTAATTTCCCTTTCTTATCGATTGCAAACAGTCTCTTGCTTGAAAATCTGTGAGGAAGAACGCAAAACAAGTGAGCATGCGAGCAGGACTGCGAATGTGACGTGCAAGTAGCACGTGGTGAAGCCCCGAGTCATGAGTAGCATGGGTGTTGGAAGACGAGTAAAAAGAGATGCCCGACACCTGTGCTACTCATGGCTTTGCATGTCACACTGACCGCTCACTTGTGTTGTGTTCTTCTTTACATTCTTCCCCATGGAATTTTAAGCAATAGAGAGACTGCTCACAGTCTATCCATTACTGGAAAGACATACCTCATTTTGCAGTTTATATCCCAGTTTTGAGAGTGCCTTGGTAAATTGTGCTGTGTCATTTATACGACTGGCCACTTCAGCAACTTTAAGAATACCCCTATCATAAGATTAACAGCATCACACAAGATCATGAGTACCTGGCAATCCAACAGTTTAGGCTGTGACACTGGAATACGACATAATGATGCATAAATATACATAATATTTACCATCATTGCTTTTATCCTAACAAGTCAACCTCGCATGAAGACCAAGTATTTGTCTAAAGATATGTGTACAAATGAGGAGCAAAGAGTCTCTACTGTACCCTGGTTTGAGAACTCTATGAGCTTCTCTCAAGAAATCCACCAGGTTCGTTCCCATCAAGGAAAGACAAAACACAGCGACATCAACACTTGCGGAGCTTAAGGGGACCTGGAAAAAGACATTCAAAAGTCTTAATTAAGTTCCAATAAGGGTATTAGCTTCATACTAACAAGCTTAACCAAGGTTAATAACATTGTCTGTCAGGATTTCTCTTCCACATTAAATGTGAAAATTATTACTAACAAATCTGTCTTCCCTGGGTGTTGGTCACCTGTGTGAATGCATCTGTAAATGCACATTATTATTATTATTATTATTATTATTATTATTATTATCATTATCATTATAAATCATTATCATTATCATTAATGTTATCATTATCATTATCATTATCAATATCATTATTATTATTTTCTTTTTAATTCAACCAACCTTTGCCATGTTGCATGCAGTCACAAACTCATTCTTGGCTACAAGATCAAATGAATGTACTTTATTTGCAACACTTTGGGCAATGATTGCTTCTCCACAGCCAAAATCTGCAACTACTTGTGATGTTGACCTAAAGACCAAAAGAGAAATATTATTTCTAAATTTTTAACCTGTGTGAAAACTTGTTTGTATTTGTATACATGTAATACCCTGAAAGCTGTGACGTTTAAGTCTGGGTTGTGGCAGCTCACTCTAAAAAACTTGTATCTTATCATATCTTATCTTATATCCTCAAGAGATGAGAGGGACAAAGCATTGACTGAGATTAACTTGAGCATTGAGCACGGATGCAATAAAATGCAAATACCCTGAGACTGAGGTAGAAAACTTTATACCAAACACTCTGGTTAGTAACCAGTCCATTGTGTCAGTGTGTGGTTGCTTACGTGTTATGCTCATAAATGACCGGAACCGGTTACAACCACTTCTTAAATTCTCAAGGTGGTCACCTAAGAGAACGTCAACAGTATATTTATGTCTTTACCTCTTCTTCAACCATTCTATGATGTTGTTGACAGGATTGATGGGCCAGAGTTTGACCTGATTGGTGAAACCTCTGTGATAAATATCAAACAAGTTTGGATCTTTAGAAAACAATGCTACTGCCTCATCTCCTGTTGTAGTGTATAACTGTTGATTTATCCGTCTAAACCTTGAAGATTCCAACTGCTTTGTCATCTTTTCTTGGAGGCTTAACTTTTTCCGAGGAGCAGGGGAGCTCAAAATATTACTGTTTGTGTCATTGAGCTCTGGGCTGTGTTTACTTATTTGTTTGTCACAACAACTATCTTGTTCAAGTTTGCAAGTTTTCTTTCTTTTTCCGTGCTTATGAGTAACTTCTGAAGTGCTTTCTCCCATATCTAGAAGCTCAGAATGATCTTTGCTACCATCCATTCTTCTTTTCTTTCTTTTCTTTCTTTTCTCTACCTTTTCACTGTCACACTTGCTTGGTCCTTCAATGGAGCTAAGAATTTTTTCTATATCTGCATCTAGTGGGGCTGCAGAATTGACAGTCTCTGATTGACACTGTTTGACACTGTCAATACTAGCCCTTTGATTGGTTCCTTTGGTAGAGATAATCTCATCATCACAGACAGTTCCTGATTGGCTATCGCTCTCCCGTGTTAGCTGAGAGTTAAACTTTTGATCAGTTTTAACATTTTTCTTTCCTTTTTTACTACTGACATCTTTTTCTTTAGTTTCATCATTTCTTCTTTTTTTCTTTGCTCTCTTTCTTTCATGTCCATTACATTTTTCACTGTTTGTACTCAATAAAACTGGTTCTTTAAATTCTGCAGCAGTGTGCTCAGAACTTAATTCTTGAACTTGTTTAAATTTATTCTTTTGTCTCTTGTCTTTTCGCTTCTTTTTAAGTTTTCCTGTACTCCCTTCGTTCTTCAAGGCTCTCCTTTTTTCTGCCTTTGAAGCATTCACTTGATTTGCTGCCTCTAAAACAGCTGAACACGTGCTAAGCTTACTTGTCGAGATATCGCCGAAGAGTTGATGAACAAGGCAATCCTGCGCCTTGGATGTACTTTCCCACTCTAAAACGTCGAAGGAGCTTTGCATACTGTTGTGTTATGTCACCCTTGTAGGCTAAATATACATAATTTTAATGGTGTTTTGTAGAGATCTCGAAAAACCACGGGCATCCACCATGTTTGAAAAATGGTTTTATGCGGTCAGCGATAATCCAATGTGATTTGCGCCAGGCCGAGGCTCCGAACGTCCTCTTCTGCTCGATCCACGATCCATCATGGCGGTGGGAAAAAATAAGAGACTGACCAAAGGAAAAAAGGGACTTAAAAAGAAGATGTGAGTGGTGTCACTGATTTATGTCATCGTAAAACTATTGCTACATTACATGAGAAGCATTTTACAAAACGAGAATCGGTGGATGGCGAGAATATGCAATGGATTCAACTGGATGTACATTTGGTGTTATTGTTAAATTACACTGTGCCTAATACTTGTAGTCGGGTGTTTTACGTTGAATGTGGACAAAATGTTTTAGAAATGGAAAATTTTAATATTGTGCATGGTGTCACTTTTTTATGACGCCCTTATGTGTTAAATCTGTCGTTTTATTAGCGTTGATCCCTTTACCAAGAAAGATTGGTATGATGTCAAAGCTCCGTCCATGTTCACCATCAGACAGATCGGCAAAACCATGGTGACCAGAACAACTGGAACTAGTAAGTAATACTGTAGATGACACTTAGCAATTCAACCAGTCGTAACGATGGTTTGGTTAGTTTTGGGTGTAAGGTATACAACTTTTCAAGTTCCCTTTTTTGTATGGCAGAACTGGGAGTCGAAAGAGATGATGCACAATGAAAAATAGCTTTTCGCAAGAAAAGAAAATACAGTCGAGATTGCGTTTTTCTGTGTGTGATCTCTTTCAGACATGGTAGGGTAATTGAATTTATGCAAATACAACCAAACCTCTCAGTAACAGCCACCTTAGGGACAGAAGAAAGTGACCAATGTGGAGAGGTGGTTGTTATGGGGAAATAGGAGTGTTTTTTTTCTTTTTTTTTTCAGGGGTGTAGCATTTTTTTGTCTAGAAAATGTGTAATGCATTTAAATAGGTAATGCAATGAAAATATATCGTAAATCAGAAACAGAGCCCAGTGACTTGTGGTATGGATCAAGTTTTGTGGCCTTTAACAATAAAAATAGTGGTGTTTTGTGTACACTGTTTGTCAGTCACTGATTCATTAACGGACTGTTGTCAAGAGGTAAACTTGGAAAGGTGGCTGTTGTAGAGAGGTTAAAATAAGAGTGAATGTATGGACCATTCACTGGGACAAAAAAGTGGCTGTTAGTGGAGAACAGAAGTAAAGAAGAAAATTAAAAGAAGTCATTAGAACACAGTGTTCCAAATTCTTTGAGAGATTTTTAAAGGTCGCATACTGTGTAAAATTATTTACAGTCTTTAACTTCTAAAATGTCATAAATATAGTTTATGACAGATTGTAAAGTTAAAAGATCTGCCCACTATCGAATGTCTGGTAACATTTGCTAGTAGCAAAGGGGAAATTGTATTTATTACTCTTCACACAGAAATTGCTTCTGATGGTCTCAAGGGACGTGTGTTTGAAGCATCACTGGCTGACCTTCAGAATGATGAGGTTGCATTCAGGAAGTTTAAACTGATTTGTGAGGATGTCCAGGGAAAGAACTGCCTTACCAACTTCCATGGCATGGACATGACCACAGACAAGCTTAGGTCGCTGGTCAAGAAATGGCAGGTAAGTTGTTGTCCATAAAATTGCCATTTGGGAATGTCTGGCATTTTTGTAGTAAGACCTGTTCTTGATGGAAGTATGTTTACATGCAGCCAAGGTGGCATTTCATTAAAGTTCAGTTCAATGTATACATACATGTACATTTGTAGAAATGTTTTCTTGTGATAACATGCACTGATATTTCTCTGTACACATAAATGTAATTGTTCTAAAAGCATATAGTACTTTCCATGAATGAAAATCAGTATGTATTTTGGAAATCTAAGTGGTACTACTTTCCTAGCTGAATATACCAATCTTGCTTAGATTGTGTCATTCCAGAAACTATGCATTCCCCCTGGAAGGTTTTTCAGTTTGGACCCCTTATCCCTCCATAAAATTCCAGTTTATCTCCATACTACCCTATAAAGATTTTGTTATTTGACACCTCCCGCACCATCAGAATTTCCAGTGACTTTCCATGGGATGGGTATGAATATTTTCAGAACTGCACATTTCATAACACAGTGAAGCCATTCATTGTAATCTTGGATTAATCTGATTAGTAAAGAAATGCAAAATCTGCTTTTGGATTAAAGAATTCAATCTTGGATTTTCCTAAACAAATGCACCCTTGGTTACATATCAGGAGCAGTAAACAGGCTAAACAAGTATTTGCTGACTCCATCTCTTTATCTCTTGTAGACCTTAATTGAAGCAGCTGTCGATGTTAAAACCACTGATGGCTACCTGCTCAGGTTGTTCTGTATTGGTTTCACCAAGAAAAGGCAAAATCAAATTAAGAAAACAGCTTATGCCAAGCATTCACAAGTGAAGGCTATCCGTAAGAAGATGGTCGACATCATCACTCGTGATGTCAGCACTGGTGACCTCAAAGATGCAGTCAATAAGCTGTGAGTATCTTAACTATGTGAACATTATCAATTGAAGGATTTTGTGCAGTAAGGGCATATATCACTTTTGGACTGATTTTCATTTTTTGCAGGATCGAACTATTTCTCGAAAATGAAGCACAAATCAGCAAAATTACAGAATGATGCTTTTCTTGTCAAAACAAGTCAGTCTGCCAAAAATTAGCTCATTCCTGCAAAAAGTGAAAATAGGCCCAAAAAGCGATGTACTCCCTTTTTGCATGAAATCCTTCCAATTGTTAACGTTGAATGAGAGGAAGGGTATAATACTTAAACTGTAGTTTGTGAGTTACTTGGTAGATCAAGAAGCATGACTGGAAAATTTTCAAATAAAGAGGTTGTCATTTACACAACTGATTGTGTTATAGTTGAATGGTTCATATTTATATTTGTTTCCTGATGGCAGAATCCCAGATGCCTTTGGCCGAGACATTGAGAAGGCCTGCCAATCCATCTACCCTCTTCATGATGTTTTCATCAGGAAGGTCAAGGTTCTGAAGAAGCCGAAATTTGACAGTGAGTTGTCTTTTAATAATTTTACATGCTTTTTATATTTAATCATACCTTTTTGGTACACTGTGGCATCATATCAGGTGAGTTTGGCCGAGCCAGGGTTCTTGTTTTGGCAAGACGTAGTCGAGCCAAAATACTCATGACAAGACCAAACAAGCCTGATATGCTAATGTACCCAAATTCGGCAACGTGACCATTATATCGTAACCATACCAGGTCATTGATATCACAGGATATCAGGACAGCTGCCACGGCTTCTGATTGGCTAATTGTGAATATGGTGCAGTAAGCTGTAATAACCCTTGAAAACAGCCTTCTTGTGACACCTTTGTTAAAAGTACATGTAGTTGTCTTTAAACAGTGGGTTAAAATGAGCTCATGAGAACAATCTCATACTACTTGGAGATAGGAAATATACTCAACAGTGCTTGACATGGTGGGGGGATATCTCAGGGAGAAGAGGATTAAATTTCTGCTGGAGTATTTCTCATTAAAGAATCTTGGCACTTGTCGCTCATTGCCTGATTTTGTTTACAAGTGTAAAGTCGCTGGCTAAATAAGCAGAAAGTGGCTAATTCTCTGTATGAGATGCGTCTGCAGGGAATGATGATAGTTGTATTCATGAAAACAAATATTCATTCCAAGATGATGAAAACAACTACCATGATTCCCAGCAGGCACATCTCAAAGAGGGAATTAACTCAGCAGAGTAGCCAGTTGACATCATGAAGTAGGTGGAGATTTTCACAGGTAGCTAACAACAACCCAAACACTGCTGCTTTTACTATTAGAAAGGCAGGTGAAAAAATTCATTTTGATGATTCACATGTAAGATTGGAATGTGGATTCAATAAATACTACCAGAGACTGCGGCCAGGTTTTAACCGAAAGACCTTTGTGTGGGAAGGTATAGACATTTTCTGCTCAATTATTCTGACTGACTGATTCAAACATGCTTTATTTTTCTACAGTTGGTAAGTTGATGGAGATGCACGGCGAGGGAGCAGCCCACAGCAGCACAGATGAAAGTGGCACCAAAATTGAACGAGACAGCTTTGAACCACCTGTGCAAGAGTCTGTGTAAAAACAATCAGCAAAAATTGAACATAGCAAATTAAACTTCTGAAAGAAAAGAGTTTCTTTTTGCGTGGTTGTGTTTATTTTATTTGGTTTTGTATTTTAATAGTCCAGTCACAGTTCTGTGACCCCGGGGGAAGGATCATCTTATGATGCAAAATTGTTTTAAAATCATGATATTTGAATGGTTGTAATTTATATGTAGTGTGAAATGCGTTGGTGTCAAGCAACAGCATTAGTTGAGTCAATTGTTTTCAAAATCCTATTCCCCTATGATTCTTGGGAACCAGAGGTCATTTTCTGGGCATGCTAGTTTTGATTGTTCACTGGCAGAGGGACATCAATTAGCATGGAGCTCCACGAGAAAATCATGTGTCCTCTTGGAAACCTTAGTTCAGTTGTAGCCTGAATTTAGTGGCTGACTGAATTTCTGTCTGAAAACTGTGGAAACACGGATTAAACAAATCACAAACGACCATGCAACCTAGTTCCCAGAGTCCTATCTTCCTCCCACGGTAAAGAATGAAGGAAAAAGAGAGAGGACCCTGGGAACGAGGTTGAACTTCCACCGGTACTAGTAATGTAATCACCTGGCTAAATTTTAATGCAACAAGAAATAATATACTCATTGAGGCGTTGGTGTAATCCTTAGACATTTTCTATTGTTCACTAGCTTGTGAACAGGTTTGTAGTGGGGTATACTGGGAGGAAACAAGGCGAGCTGAGTTATATCAACCTGCGGGAGGTATTTCGCTAGACGAACCGAAAAATACAGGGGGCGGAAGTTTTCTTTTAGGCAATTTTATATTTCTTGTCTAGTTTTTACTCGGAGATATCTACCTAAGGGAGGTCAACTTTTTGGTGATTTCCATAAATATAGGGAGGTTCTTGAGTGAACATTTCACTGTACGCCGTGATCCTTTTGGTTTACCACCGAGAAATCGTAGCCTACGAACGCAGACGTATGTCCGGCAAGCGACAGCCGGAAATATGTCTACATTCGCAGCCTAAGAAATCAAGACTGACTTATTTTTCGAACCAAACAAATAGAAAAGAAACAAATCATTGCAATACACTAGGAATTAGGCAATCAAGCGTAGTACCAGTTTTGGTGTAAAATTATAAATATTTGCGAAAGATATGTAGATCTTGTTTTGACGTCAGATCCCAACTAGTTCCAGGTCCCAAACCCCCGCGGTTTCGGACCCAACCGGAAGCGAAAATTCACGTTTCCAGATGGCTAAAACGCGGTGAAAAAA